GACGTTCTATTTATACGGAGGGGTGAATATTAACTATTGATATTCATGGTGAACTTCACAATACAGCTTTCATTCTTTCGAATAGTAATTTGGCAACAATGTATAAAAGGCTATAGAGAGGTAATCATATGCCAAAACCCTTTCCATTATATGTGTATTCAAACATCGTCTCGTGCATGTATTTACAAATTTAATAACCCTTTTTTTTTAACCTGGCTTATACTCGAGTTATCTAGTGACATTAGACCGACAACCCGACAACCTATAAGAAAAATAAGTTTACAAAAAGGCGTCAAAAAGGGGCTAGACGTCTGTTTTTTTGTTAAATAAGGGCGATGTTTCGATTAATATTGCTGCGATCTTACAAATATTTACCTATGTCAGCGAAACTCTGTCTATTTATAAATATATTATGATTTTTATTAAAAATATTTTATGTAAGATTTAGATAAAGATCTAGCCATTCTCGCTATAATGGTTAGAAAATAAATAATGTAAAATTAATAATTTGAAAAATTTCATTCAAATTATTCTATTGCAATTGAAGATATTAGCCTTTGAAAGTTTGTCAAGACGTGTGCAATAATTTCAACCACCTTACTGGTTGTTCGAAGCTAAGTTTCGTTCCTCCATTTTTAGGTTAAGTCAAAATATGGCTGAACTGTTCCAATCTATTTAATATCGGAGAAATCCGATGCCCTTGAGAGTTGATTATGGTCTGGATAGGTTAATTAATGTCTAATTAATAATTTATATAACATTTCAGGCCTAAAGAAAGACCTGCAATAGACAGATTTAGTTTTTGCATAATGCATGTTTAATCATTTATTGTGTTTATTTCGACATTGGATGTATCTATGAACGATTTAAAATAAAATAGCACCAGCAATTGCAGTGAACCATACTGACAAAGCATCGACATAATTAGACATCTACTAGCAGTTACAGCTTTAAAGGAGCTAAATCGCTAATATTTGGGACCTAGAAATTGACACAAATAGGTCGCACCGCATATAATAATGTAATCTGATTGTATATAAACTGATTTACATTCAATTGTTTCCGTTTTTTACTCTAATTTCAAATCAGTTTATGTTCGGTGAAATACGCTAGAAGTATCAATGGAATAGCAATCTCTAGCGTCTGGTTAATCCAGTCTACACCGATAGTATTAATTACGTATGCTCTCCAGATAAGAGTATGGCGTCAGCGTTTGACATGACTTGTGGAATATGTCTAGCCCCGTTCTTCGAGTCCCATGTTACAAATGGCGCTGAAAAGCATCATGGTAAAATTTGAACCATATGTTAATCCGGAAATGACCTAGTTTGTGTCGAGTGTACGTTAAACCCCATTTCTCCCAAGCCGGGAGAACATCTATACCTTTCATATTGTACTTTTCTTTATGAAATGTTAATCCATCTAAATACAATTTAGCATGGAAGAAGTTGTGGAAAGTGAGATATTGTTAAAAAATTCACGATTTAGATAGGCTAGGGACAACGTATAGTCGTTCGGATAGGACAAAAAACCGAAGTCCCGTGTACACATTGGCGTGCATGTAAAAGAACCCTTGTCAGTTGATGGAATTGTAAATAAAACAAGTACACGGCGCCACCGTCCGAGCACAATTTCCCTCATAGACCAGTAGGAGCAGAATAGTAGGACGTTAAACCCCATTTCATTTCGTTAAGCCATACGACCACCCAACCGCCATTGGAGAAGAGGGAGATCAGCATATTCCGCTCAATATTGTCCGAGTGTCAGTTAATATTGTTCACATACAAGATTCCTTTACTAAAATCATGTTCTAGAGAGGGGGTGGGGGTCACGGTGGCTAAGTGGGTAAGGCGCTGGCTCGCTAGCCTCGAAGTCGGGTGTTCGACTTGGCCGAGAAAGTTCATCCAGATTTTCCGGTGTGGTTCCCCCTTGTCAGTGGTGCAGAATGGAGAGCCTGACATGAACAGCTGTCTAGTCGTTCGGATGGTACGAAAACCGAGATCCGGGGTACACATTGGCGTGCATGTAAAAGACCCATTGACAGTTGGAATTCGATATAAGAGTAGGCCGTATGTGCCGCTGTCCAGACAAAATTTCCCTCATGGCACACTGTATGGCGTATGCCCGTCTTCATTAGCCCAGTTTAGGAGCAGAACAGTAGGACGTTAAACCCCATTTCGTATCATTTCATTTCTTCTAGAGAGAAAATATCTATTTAAATAAATAAAATCAAAGATGTCTGGGTGGGTGTTTATGTGTGCGCCCATCGCGCTTCTTGGCACAACCCACCACCATATACGTGGTATCAAATTAACCAGCGTGATCCCTGGTCACCCCCCCCCCCCCTCTCCCGGACACGCGCCTGTTTTTGTACCATCCGAACGGCTAGACACTCTCCCTGATCGACCACTGACAAGTAGATACCACACTGGAAAATGTCGAGGATTAACGTTCTAAAAGGGATCAAAACCCCGAATCCCCTGATGTTTAGCGAGAGAGAGAGAGAGAGAGAGAGAAATGTGGTTTAACGTCCACTCGACACAAACTAGGTCATTTTGGGACTAACATATGGTTTAATGGGGTTTTTTTTTCAATAATTCGCTTGCGCGTAGAGGTCTTTAGCAGTGGGAGGAAAGCGGGGGATCTGGAGAAAACCCACGAGGTTGGACCAGGGACCCTACTTCTTGTACAGTACAACCGGGGATTCGAAACCACGCCAGTTGACTCAATGACAGGCCTTATGATACACGCGCACGTGCTAACCATTCGCCCCCCCCCCCCCACCCTGAGCCCTTATTCACGAAAACTTAAACTAAGATAAAATCGAAATTTTAAGAAATACTGCAACTTCATTGGATATATGCAAATTGATTTTACTGGTCAGCCAATCGAATTGCAGTATTTCTTAAAATTTCGATTTTATCTTAGTTTAAGTTTTCGTGAATGAGGGCCCTGATGTTTAGCGAGTCAGCGCCTATTAACTGGGCTACCATCAGTGGAAATAAAATGTGGCCACGTTTTGATATAAATTATATGAACCAATGACATTTTTTCCTTCTAGTTGTTAAAAGAGTAAGTGGTGCGGAAAAGTAGGGCGATATTCGACCCATCCCATTAATACCAAACTAAATTATGAATACGCTCAATATGCGGTTAATAATGGGAGGTAACTCCATTTTAGACACCTTGTCCCTCTAAAAAAAATATGGATGTGAATATAGACGTCAAGACTGGATTAAGCTTGCTTCTGGCCCTAACTAAAAATCAGTGTCCAAAACCGGATGACTTTCAAGTGGTGATAAAAAACGAATTTTACTTTCTTTTATTTGAATGCAGCGAATTTGTCGGGAAGTTACTCGACTTTGTCATTTTTCAGGCATCGATCAATATTTGTTTCATCAATTTTTCGGGAATCCTAAATTATTTAAATTTAATAATGGATTAAATTTGAAAATATTTAAATTCGGGAATCATCACAATCTGATTAAAACACAGATCCTATAATTTTCGTTTTTTAATAGTTCAAAATTTCGTTTTACTTGTCTTTACTACACTAGGATCTGGAAGGAGTTGTTACATAACCCGCGTTCTGGATGATGTGAGGGATGAGCCAATGAAACGGTCTGTTACCGCGAGTTTTTGGCGAGAGGTGCACGGAACTGTGGGTAACCCACTAGAAACATCAACGTTGATTAGTTATAATCCAATGTCTGACATCACAGGGTCAATAGTCGCTCGTATTACCTTTGACGTACCTTCCACTACAACTGGTCAGATCTTCATAGTAGAGGCCATCGAAAGTATAAAAAAAAAAACGAAACGAAATATAGATCCGTATTTTAATTAGACTGGAATCATCATTACTTGTTTCCGTGTCTGCGGGCGAACGACTTTGCAGGCCGCTCCGTGGACTCTAAACGAGATATTTTTCGGGCATCAACATTATTGTTTCGTCTTTGTTTTGGGAATTTAAATTTCTGGTATCCGGTGTATGCACTGCAACAGTCTAATTGATTGGTTGATTGACTGGAATTCGGGAGGGCAATGCGTGGGATTTCGGTTGAAAACCAGTTAAACCACATAAATAGGCCTATATATTGCATGGCTAAATCTATTTGTTAAGGCCGGCTAAATTTTCGCCAAAGTCCCGGAGATGTAGGCCTACATGTATAAAAGCATAGGGCGCATGATTGTTGGCGAGATTGTAGGTTAGGGTTTAGGTAAGCATTAGGGCTAGGTCCAGGGTTAGGGTTAGGGATAGGATTAGCGCTAGCCCTAGCCTTTGATCAAACCTGAAGTTGGCCTTATCAACTAATATTGCATGTACTCGGGGGCTGGAATGGCAGGAAAACGCGTTTGCGGCTGTCTACGTTTTAAAAATTTTCTCCCGACGTTATATACGGTTCACTATAAAAGCAATAGAGAGAGAGAGAGAGAGAAATGGGGTTTAACGTCCACACGACACAAACTAGGTCATTTCGGGACTAACATATGGTTTAATTTTATTTCAATAATTCGCTTGCGCGTAGGGGTCTTTAGCAGTGGGAGGAAACCGGATATAAAAGCAATAACTAAATGACCTAATTGTATTTTATTAATAACATAAAACTCATTGTGACAAAACTTACAGAATGAACATAATGGATAAACATTGTTAACATTGTTAAAATTTTATTGCAGGCAAAAAACATGGTTACATATAGCGGTACAATCATCCATAATGGGGTGTAAAAATCACACGGTAAAAAAAAATATATAATATTGATCAAAAACATTCGAGAAAGAACTGAGACAGCTCTTATATTGAAGCTTGTTGACAGATTTAAAAAAAAACATATCCCTCTCTCAAGCACTTGTAGCGCCATCCTTTGATGCTAAGCTCCGAACAGCACACATAAGGCCCCTCTTATAAAACGCTCTTGGATGAACTTGTGTCTAGCCGTGTGCACTTTAATCGAGACACACGTGGGTCATGTTGATCTAGTCTTCATAACAGCCAGCCATACACGCCTAAGAAAACTTTTTTGATTGGATGAAGAAATCGAATCGGAAGTTGTGTAACATTCGGAAACCTTATTAAAACTATTTCCGGTTTATCGAAGCCTCCCAACAAAAATTGACAGACTACAGTGATTTACCAAATACTAAAATCTTCATAAAAAGTCAACATAATGTCGGAGGGGTTAGTGTGGAGTGTTAAAAATGGCGACTTAAACGAAGTGAAGAAACTTCTAGAAGCCGAGGTTTGTACTTGAAGTTGTGTGATATCCAGAAAAGTGATGCCGACTGACTCGATTCTTGATTTTTTTCTCCTTTCTTTAGACTAGCACTACTTAGCAAGGGCACTAGTTCTCCACTAGGTTACTAAAGAAACCAAATAGAGCATTGTATTATAGGCCAAGAGTATCCAGTAGGCTACTTGAAATCTAGATCAAAGGATAGAATCTAACAGACATTGCCTGAATATAGAGGGATGCTGATGATGTGATTGTTGTTAAATTATAAAAATAAAAAAGTAAAACCTTTAAAATTAAGGCAGTGGATATTTAACCGTATACGGCGCTTTACTTTATTTACTATTTTGCCGTACACTTCCGTTTAACATGCGCAGTTCTCTGATACCTGGACTTAGCAGTTTTCACTTTGGCAATGCCGTCTGACATTAACCCAAACCCAAAACCTAACCCTAACCCTAACCCAACAGTTCTATTTGTTTTTTGTCTATCATTGCTTCTTTTTCTGTTTCTTATAAAGGAACGAAATAGCCATACTTGAATTTCTATGGTAGAAACTGGAGAATTATTTTTAAAAGAAAATAAGATAATAAATGTAAATTGTAGAAAAGCATTTAGAATATTATTCTATTTTGGTCGAGGGCGCATTTCTGTGAATTTTAATTAAGTACTAAGACTGTCAGTGGTTTATATTTTTCCCGTAAAATTGTGCTTCCGCGCCGAACTTGAAAGACGAGTTACCAAAATGGCGGAATATATCTGTACTTTCCGTCATTTTGAATCAGAAACGATGTACGGTAAAATAGCGTAAGTAGATACTTTGCCGTATACGGTTAAAAATATCCACTTCATATAATTAAATTAAGTTTCTCAAGTGATACAAGTAATGTTAAATTATTTTGTTTTTACCAATTGTATGATTAATTTTGTTTTTAAAAAAAAAAGGAACAAAAAGTGTGAGAATTATTTTCATTGATGTCAAAAATATGTGATGTCATTGATTAGACGCGTCATAGATGCATAATCTCGCTTGGGCAAGATTTGGTAAGGTGACGTGCGCGTTGCCAGTTTTGCCCAGTGTATCCGGTTCCAGTGTGAATTTTTTTTTAATCAACCGTCTGTCGGTGACAGTTTTAGTTACGCTCCTGTATTACCGGAAAAGAGCTTTTGCGATGTATTAGAGGTTCGCTCTAAATTAGATAATTTTGTTTCATTTGAAATTCCAAATTGTTAAGAAAAAATAAGGATGAGAATTAATTTCATTGACGCTATACGTATATGTTTGATAAGTTACATAATCTTGCTTCGTTTTGACGAGATTTGATTGAGGAGAGATCGGCTAACTCTGACGAAGTTGTCATGTGGTTTGCCTGTTTTGCCTAGAGTATCCGGTTTTGGTCTGAATTTTCTTTAAGCCATCACTCAGAGAGTTTCAGTTACATTCCTGTGTTTCCGGAAAAGAGCTGTTTCTTTAGTGCGATGCTTTAGCATTATACTATTACTATTGCTCGACATCAATCAAAAACGTATATTTTGTAATGTACGTGCGTAACAGTGGCTCAGCAAAGAATTTGAAACATAAATTTGATCTCAATATATTATGTGATGAAAAGTAATGTTATTTTTATTTATTTGGTCTTAAGAGTAGGCCATAAATGTAGCACCGCTGTCTGGGCAAAATTTCCCTCATAGAACACTGCATGGCATGTGCCCGTCTTCATTAGCCCAGGATAGGAGCAGAACAGTAGATCGTTAAATCAATTTCATTTGTTTGTTTTCTAGTATTTATCAAGAAATGATAAACACTATTGAATCCTAGTCAAAACACCTCTCACTGCTCTTTAGCCCCAGTAATAAACAGTAAATGAATTTCGTAGAATTGTGACCTGTGTATTTACGGTTGAGTTATTAAATGCATCAAGTAAGATATAGTTATGTGGTTAGCACATGTGTGCTGTATCATAAGGTCAGTCATTGAGTGAACTGGCGTGGATTCGATTCCCCAGTTTTACCTCATGGGTTTTCTCAAGGTCCTCTGGTTTCCTCCCACTACTAAAGACCCCTACGCGCAAGCGAATTATTGAAATAAAATTGAACCATGTGACCTAGTTTGTGTCAAGTGGATGACCCCATTTCTCTCTCATTGTTCAGGTAACTTATATACCTTCTAACTAAGATAAAGTTGGCCGACTTTGACACTTCTGGTTATATTACAATGTAGGCTACAATTAAAACATTCTATGTGTAATTTTACTATAGAAAGTATTTAAAAGGACAATATTGGTGCCAGTCATTATCACACATGTGATAGAGCTTGTTAAACACATTCCAAATATAATTTTAACACAGAGATCATTGCTATGATAGCTGAGTAATACAGGTTTCCCGAATCGGAAGTGACGAACGCCAAAGGAAAACACGAGTCATCTCTCTATATAACTGACTGATGTGACAAGTGATAACGGACATACGGGCAAATTTCTGCTTACTAATAATTCCTTCGAAGACCACATCACATCAGTCAGTTATATAGAGAGATGACTCGTGTTTTCCTTTGGTGTTCGTCACTTCCGATTCGGGAAACCTGTATTACTCTGCTATCGTAGCAATGATCTCTGTGTTAAAATTATATTTGAAAGTTAAGCAAATCTATTGTCACAAAATGCCCTCAAAAGATGACCTAATATTAGGTAAACCTGGGTGACTTTTATGCTTTACTTTTATCCTGTAGCTTGATGAAACATTGTAGTGTAATAAACTATATATAGCAATTGTCATCCGTAAATAGTTTGGGGGGTTGTAGGCTGTTCCTTAAATTCAAGTCAAAATCAGCCTTGGTACACATTTGGGCTGGTGTGTTTGGTGGGGGGGGATGTCTAATGCTTGCGCTTTAGAATATAAAGTATGTTGCTAAGTCAGGTGGCATGGATTTGATTCAAAACTTGTTTGTATGTACCCAACTTCATGGATTTTCTCCAGATCCTTTGATAAAGACATGTAGGTGCAAGGTACATGTATATATATTGAAGTAAAATTTTATAATATGCTAGTCCTAAAATGACCTAGTTTGTGTTGAATGGATGTTAAATCCCATCCCCAAATGAATGCCCCTGTTGCTAATTAAGTATTATAGCTTGTGTGATTAGGGGTTAGACAATCATTGTATAAATTCTGTGAAATTGTAATTTTGGATCTTTGGAAACAATGGGACAACGGATGAAATTAGTGTTGTATGTATACTATAACTAACAGAACACAGTTTTTATGGGATACATTCCGATACAATCACTAGTTTTATTCTAAAAGCACGACGTTTCAACAAGTATTTACTTATCGTCGTCATTGTGCTTGATAAAGATAAGAGGATACTTGTCGAAACGTACTGCTTTTAGAATAAAACTAGTGATTGTATCGGAATGTATCCCATGAAATCTGTGTTCTGTTAATGTGTTTCACAATCGCTAAATGCCACTTAAAGATTATACTATTACTAGTTTTATTCATTAACTGAATTCCTGTCTAAGTGATGTATATTAACCAAGTTATTTTTAAATATTAATCTTCTTCCTGGTATATATGTAACTAATATTGTTGAATAAACTGATTACTCAATACTACCGGGTTTCCTCCGGTAGACGCAAGCTAAATCTGCCTATTGCAGTCATTCTTTAGGCCTGAAATGTTATCTAAATTATTAATTAGACATTAATTAACTTATCCAGACCATAATCAACTCTCGATGCCAGAGAATACTTGTCGAAACGTTGTGCTTTTAGAATATAACCAGTGATTGTTTCCCATAAAAATTGTGTTGTGCTAATTAATGAATTAAAATTGTACAATATGTTAGTCCCAAAATTACCTAGTTTGTGTTGAATGGATGTTAAACCCCATCCCCTAGTATCTGCTCCAGATGTAGTCTTTTGTCACCAGCCTGAAATAATAGGTCGTCTGATTAGCTGTCAATCAATCATTGTGAAACATTCTGCCAAATTTGTAATTTTGACGCCTCGGAAAAAGTTGGCAATATTGATCAAATTAGTTTAAAGGGACATTATGGGAGATTGGCTAATGAGCTGACAGTTCTCGCTATAATAGTTAAAAACTAGATAATGTAAAGGGAATTTACTGAAAATTTCAATCAAATTGATTCACTCTGAACCGAGAATTTAGCGATTGAATTTTAGGCCTAGCCTTGATCATCATTACTAAAGTCGGTAAGATACAAAACATAGTCTCAGTTATCAGTTTTTGGATTTAATCATCAATGAGCATTCAGTCAGATTCAAATCTAGTAAATATTGCAGGCTTTGATGTCATCGAGGGTTGATTATGGTCTTGTTTTGTAAATAAATCTCTAATTTATAGAAAATTATCAGGCCTAAAGAAATACCTGCATAAAGCAGATTTAGCTCTTGAATAATGTATGTTTAATACATGAAGGCCTACTGTAACTACTTTAATTCATACACTAAACTCTAAGTGGTGTATTACTGTATAATAACAAAGTTGACTGCCATTTTTAAACAGTGATCTTCTTCCTGGTTGAATACACTTGTACAGTTAAATATTGTTGAATAAGCGGATTATGGCTTAATCTATTTGTTAAGGCCGGCTAAATAAGGTTAGGGCACGCGATTGTTGGCGAGATTGTAGGTTAGGGTTAGGATTAGCGCTAGCCATGTTTACATCTCGTGACCTTTGACCAAATTTAAAGTTGGCCTTATCAATTGGGAGCCATGGTGGTTAAGTGGGTAAGATGCTGGCTCGCTAGCCTGGAGGTCGCAGGCTCGATCCCTGCATTGGCCGAGAAAGTTCATCAAGATTCTCCGACGTATCTTTCCCTTGTCTGTGGTGCAGGACGGAGGGCCTGACATGGACAGCTGTCTAGTCGTTCGGATGGGACGGAAAACCGAGGTCTTGTGTATACATTGGCATGCACGTAAAAGATCCCTTGGCAGTTGGGATTTAATATAAGAGTAGGCCATAGTGCCGCTGCCCGCCGTTCAAAATTTCCCTCATACTTTGAGTCATAGCACACTGTATGAAGTATGAACGTCGTCATTAGCTCAGTCAGAGCTGTACAGTAGGAGTAGCAGGATGTTAAAACCCATTTCATTTCTTTTTTTGCCGTCTCAGTTAGATCTATCTAGTACACTGTATGGTTTATGTCAGTTTTCATTAGCCCTGTCGGCGCAGAACAGTAGGACGTTAAACCTCTTTTCATTTCATTTTTTGCCTTCTCAGTTAAATCTATCTAGTTCTCAACAATCAAAGGGGGGTTGGATGGTCGAATGGTTAGCATGTGCGCGCTGTATCATACGGCCTGTCATTGGTGTGGTTTCGAATCCCCGGTTGTACGTGACAAGGAGTAGGGTTGCCTGTCCAACCTCATGGGTTTTCTCCAGGTCCTCCGGTTTCCTCCCACTGCTAAAGACCCCTACGCGCAAGCGAATTATTGAAATAAAATTAAACCATATGTTAGTCCTGAAATGACCTAGTTTGTGTTGAGTGGAGTTAAACCCTATTTCTCTCTCTCTTCCTCTCTCTCAACAATCATCACTACCGACAACAGTGTAGTGAGTGTACGTTTACAATGGCATTTGGTGAGTTCAGACTAACACTAACAACAAATAAATAGTTTTTATTTTTCAATTTAGCTGCCGAGTTTAAATTTATTTTGGCAGCATGTGTTATCTTTGTGTCTAGACTAAAACAATGTATCAAGGCTAGCACACACTTAATGTGAATCATAAAAACTATTTCTTTAAATTTTCTGTCAGGCAAACACAAGGAAAATAGTTTTTATATATACATGTAGCCCAATTTAATAATGTGATTGTATATTGCCATCACCCTGTCCATCAGTTTGTCGTCCACTATTGCTTAGGGGCATTCTAACAGCTAAATTAAACATTTATTTTTGAGTCGATGAAGCCTAATGATTTTCAAAAATTCATTACTGAGCAAGATCTAATGCAGTGGTTCTCAACCTTTTTTTGCTAAGGGCACCCCAGGAACACATGAAAAATAACGGCACACCTGGCTAAATATATATGAGAAATATCTGGATTTTGTAAAATAAAAACATGGCAAGTCAGACGTCATACAACCGTAGACAGAGACTAGTCATAGACACATAGAAGAACTAAAACTACATAAAGACAAATGCAGCTTTTCAGTAGACACCAGTGAATACTCAATTGGGGTCACGTGGTTTTTCCCATTTTCTAAGTGTGCCGTTCAAAATTCCGCGGCACACTTAGGATCAGTTGCCGCGGCACACTGGTTGACAATCACTGATCTAATGGATGCTCTATAGGCTCAAGTTATCATCTGATTGACTTCCAATGTATTTGTAATGACTGTATGCACAGTCACTTGAGATGAATATGTTAGTTGATTTTCTGTCAGAGTTATGGCCCTTGATGACTTACAAAAATTATTTTGTGGACACTCCAGAGGCTCAATTTATTGTTCGATTAATTTGAAATGTATGCACAGTTACATTAGATGAAGATGTCTTTTGATTTTCTGCCAAAGTTATGGCCCGTTGATCACTTAAAATAAAACCTTGTCGACACTCTAGAGACTCCAGTTTTCATCCGATTGGCTTGAAATTGATGAGCAGAGTTTATGTTCAAGATAAAAAAGTGTAATGATTTTCTAATAATTACTGTTGGATTTATCTTCCTTGATCTGTAAGAGAAAAAAAATAAAATCTGGACGTTCTAGAGGTTAAAGTTATTTTCAACGATTACTAACAGGTATAACTTGAACACCAGTGGAGGTTTTGTTTATGTTAAGAGCTGGGAAAAACTAGAAGTCTGTCAAATTTTATCTATTTCTGATAATTACTACAAGGGTTATTGTCCTTGATCAGTTTTATTGTATTTTACATGTACATGTACAGGTTAATGCTTCTACCACCTGACAACATTGACCGCGTGGTTTCGATTTCCAGGTTGTACGTGACAAGGAGTAGGGTCGCCTGTCAAACCTCATGGGTTTTCTCTGGGTCCTCCGGTTTCCTCACACTGCTAAAGACCCCTACACGCAAGCTAATTATTGAAATAAAATTGAACCATATGTTATGCCCGAAATGACCTAGTTTGTGTGGAGTGGCTGTTAAACCCCAATTCTCTCTCTCTCTCTCTCTCTCTCTCTTTAATTTTGGCCTTTTCAGACTTAAGCTTCAGGGATGTACCAATATTACTGTATCATATTTCGCTGGTTTTCTTCAAGGAGAGAGCCGAATGGAGTTTAACGTCCATTCAAAACTGCAGGGCATACCGAGGATGTGTTAGTGTATATATTATGTAGTGAATAATAAATTGTACGGAATTGTATTTTTTTCAGAAAGGTATAATCAATAAAGATGTATCTGGACGTAAACCTCTACATTTTGCAGCAGACTATGGACAATCAGAAATCGTTGAATATCTCATCAAAAATGGTGCTGATGTCAACGTAAGTTTTATTTATTAGTGGGTTTATTTCGGAACGATTTACGTATTAAATCTACAAGGAATCCATGTGTAACCATGGAGTCATTATGATTTATTACATATTTTGTTAACTGCACATGCCATTTACTATGTTTTTCATTTAAACTATTGCAGTTTGAGGGTATTTAACTCATTCAAACTACATAGAATGTGGTTTTGGAGTACATGTATCTACCTTATTTAATATAGTATTTCAGATATTTAATTCATTCATGCAATGTGATTGCGGGCTATTTAATTAATTCATTCTAATGACTTGTAAAGTGGTTTGAGAGTATTTAATTAAATTACATACAAAATATTTTTGGTTATTCAATGGCTGTATTCAATGATATTTGCTTGTATTTGCATGTTGTTATAGAATAAAACTACATAGATGTATAATGGAGTTTTGGGGTATTTAACTCAAAGCTGTCCTGTCCTCTCTCCCAAGGCAGGGGAAAACACAGATGTCAGTTCTTGCAGCTTATTTTTTTTTGTATTTGATTATCCTTTTGACTATATAATATATGAATTATATAAACTGTTTCAGGCATGTGATATTCATGGTATAAGTCCTCTACTAGCTGCGGTATGGGAGGGTCATAGTGAATGTGTTAAAATTCTCTTACAAAAGGTAAAATATGAACTAACACCTTTCCTCCAGATGTTGAGAGCTACATTTGATAAGCCAATCAGCATTGATGTCTCTAGTAGGATACACACAGTTCTGTGCATCGCATGCCAAGAATTCGCTGCAACACAGACCATTTTATTGGCTAATCCCTCACATCAACCAGAATGTGGGTTATATAACAACTCTTCCAGACAAGTAAAACAAAATTTTGAACTATAAAAAAAACGAAACGAAATAGGACCTGTGTTTTAATGAGATTGCTGTCTCTCCCCCCCCCCCCCCCCAGTCCATATGTTTTTAAAACAAACTTTGCATTATTCTCTTACAGGGTGCAAAAAAAGATGGCAAATCTCCGGATGGAACATCGTATCTAGATTGTGCTGAAAAACAGGAAATTAAGGACTTACTGAAGTGAAATTAAGTGATCTAGAAAAAAAAGACAAAATGGATGTGATCTTTACAAAATGAAGATAGTCGAATTTGTTATTTTACTACTTTAAGACTTCCAATCATGTGTATAAACATTTGCTTCGTGAGGGTTTAGTAACTAGTGATTTCTGACCATTTGTCATGCAACTCTCACTATATATATTATATGTATATATTATCATTTATACGGGCCTGGAAATAACGGTTTAGATGTACCGAACAAAATGTCAGGCACTAATGAAAAAGTACCCGACATTTTCAACTTAGTGCCGGACATGTATTAATAATATCAATAAAAGAGATAAATCAGTGCCGGACAAAATGACAGGCATCAGAGGTTTAGTGCCTGACAAAGACTGAATCTCTGTGCCTGACATTGTCTGTGACAGGTGCCTTATTTCCAGGCTTGCATTTGAAGCATGGAGGGGGGGAATATTGCAACCCATTCAGCCTCATATAGATAGATTATTAATGAACATAGGGGTACCGGTATTTCAAGTATTTTAGTTAAAAACTTTATTTATTTATGATAGTGAATCGAACAATTGGAAATGGAGTCAGCTGATTGGGCGTAAACAAGTACCACCTTACTACAATCTGATTACAATACAGATCTATATTTCGTTTCGTTTTTTTTATACATTCGTGTGGTCTACACTACATGAAGTTCTGACATCAGGGGTCATATGTGCAGCTTTTGAATCTATAACGTCATGCATTTGATTAACCAATCAGCATTGATGTTTCTAATAGATTACCCACAGTTCCATGCAAAACACGCCTAAAGCTCGCCTTGACAGACCGTTTCATTGGCTAATCCCTAACATTATCCAGAGCACGTCAATGATAACAACTCTTCCAGATCCTAGTGTATTAAAACGAAATTTTGAACTATAAAAACGAAATGAAATGGGATCTGTGTTTTAATCAGATTGGGTATTTTCGCAGTTTGGGGTCAGTCGGATTAAAAAGAGTCTTCTCAAACGATTTAAGTAAAGAGATTTGAAGTGGCTCTGTTGAGAAATATCTCTGATCCAGAAACAACAATTTAGTGAAAATTATAAGTAGCTCTGACCTATTTTGACGGTATCCCTTCCTGCAGTACATGCCATAGAATGATGACAGATTTTCAATTCATCTTTGTCAATACTGAGAGTAATTGAATCATTTTTTGACAAAAATTCGGTTTCGATATTCAACTTTGTGAAATGACGATCATAGACTGTAATCCCTAAATGGCTAAATCTATTTGTTAAGGCCAGCTTAGTTTCTGTCAAGGTCGCTGAGATGTAAATAAAGTTAGGGCACATAATTGTTTGCGAGATTGTAAGTTAGGGTTAGAATAAGCTTTGGGGCTAGGTACGGGTTAGGGTTGGGATTAGAGCTAGCCTTGTTTACATCTCGTGATATATGACGAAAAATTAAGCTGGCCTTGTTAATTAGCACTGACCATCCATGAATGAATTATTTCACTGATCTTATTTCACACATCCTGGCTTTTCCCCTCGTATTCTAACCCAAATTATAATTTTGTTATTGAGTTACATGTACATGTATATTAGAGTAGAAATTAATTGATTTGTTTTTGCTTGATATTGAGATTATTGTATTAATTTATTTCTATGATTTGAATGGCTTAATTAAGGCGAGTGTATTTTGTTTTGTTCTGTCTCAAATCTCGCTTCTCGAGAAACCAGTATACCATGATGATGCTTAACTCTCTCTATAACACCTGATATCACTTCCTGTATGAGAAATTCATATAGTTAACATTATATTAATGATCATGTTTAAGATATATTACAAAACTTCCATTGATAATGTGTAACTCTTTCTAAAGCACCTGATACTGTCTGAGAATTTCACGTAGTTAACATTAATGATCATGTTTATGATGTATTGTAAAACTTCCATTTTTTTAACGAAAATCTTTTGGTAAATTCTGTTTATAATTTCATACGTTTCTATAAAAGTAATAAGTAAAACATCCATACTGTTCATAAAATTTTTGGTTCAAGAAACTTTTTTATAACAATGTGAAAAATATTATGTATGTGTTGTACATTATGTGACATCTTTAGTGCTTTTTATCTTTCGCTACTAATTACTAGCCCGTCTTCATTCGCTGTTAAGATGTAGAAAAATAAGACGCTAAACTCCTGTTTACATGTATAAACTAATTTACTAATTAACTCTTGTGACTGCCATTTTTGTTTCTGTGAAGTTTTATAGCATGTACTACACCCTAAAACTTATATTTCATTGAAAACCAAACCACTTTCAATCCTGGATATGATGAATTATGTCAAAATTTCTGGCACTATTGAATGTTGTATCTGACATTTTGGGCTGTCCAAAAATATTGCTGTATAGATATATTGCAATACGATCGATCGTCCGCGATACACTGTATCGATAAATTTTTGCCGTATCGATATTTTTTTTTAAACAAATGTTAGCTAGACTTCATTAATCAGTCATATTATTTATATTAGGCTTGGCAGTAAACATTAGCCTAAGTCTGCTAAGCCAAGACCAAGCTTGTAAAAACAAATAAAGTGAAAATGTGTATTCACATTGTCAGTCATATTATAAGCTTTGCAGTAAACAATAAAACTATTCAAAATAAAACTGTGCTTTGTGATAAACCCTGACTTTATCGAAGTATTGCAATACGATTTTTGGCGCAATATACAGCCCTAACATTTAAATTTATATCAAGAGACCAAATGATGCAGAACAAAATGACAGTGAAAAAAGGAACCGTACCTGACAAAGCCTGAAGTTGTGGCTGACATTATCAGTGGAAAGTGCCTTATATTTCCAGGCTTGGGTTCCTTTTTTTCACAAAATTGTAACACAAGGAATGCTAATGATTTTATTACCAATAAATACCAATGTTCACGTAATTCCCAGTCCAGTGAAAAATATCAATTTTCAGGGGCCAACACTAATAAAAGGACCAAAATTCACTTTGAATTTGAAAAGTCCACCACATTCTGATCATGTGTTAAATGAAAATGAATTATTGACAGGCCTGGAAATAACGGTTTTAGATGTACCTGACAAAATGTCAAGCACTAATAAAATAGTACCTGACATTTTCAACTTAGTGCCGGACATGTATCAATGATATCAATAAAAAAGACAAATCAGTGCCGAACTAAATGACAGGCACCAGAGGTTTAGTGCCTGACAAAGCCTGAATCTCTGTGCCTGACATTGTCTGTGACAGGTGCCTTATTTCCAGGCTTGATTATTGAATTGCTAGAAATAAATGTTGTAAGAAGTTTTAAGCTTATTTATAAATGTACTGTATATGTGCATGTTGTATACCTGAAGACGTAAGAGGCCAGCCTATTTTTTAACAAATTTATTTGCAATAAATCATTAAAAATGTCTTGTATTTTTGTAAGTGGGGTTGGGTGACCAAATGGGTTAACTTGTGCGGGTCAGATCAGTCATGGCGCGAGTGGACGCGGTTTTGATTGCATGCTTGTATGTGACTTAGGGGATGCTCGATTCACAGTCCAGAACGTCCCGAATTGCAATCGAGTAACACAGAATTCAGTTCTGTCAGTCCCGATAATGGAGGTGGTGTGAGTAGAATTGTGACGTAATTAAACACAAGGAATATGTTTCGGCTGCATGGTTGGTTATCACTATTTTTGGGATTGAGAGAATTCAATTCCGGAACGTTCGATCGAATACCCCTCGTGGATTTCTCCTGTTCAACAGGTTTCCTTGCACTGCTAAAGACCCAGCAAATTATTGAAATAAAATTGAACTATGTTAGTCCCAAAATGACTAACCCCATTTCTGTCTCTCCCTGTATTCACCCCTGTCCATCCATGATTTGTTTGTGGACACTCTGATTTTGACCAAATTTGAAATATAGGTTTATCTCCTAAAGATCTGTTCTATTCGATCTTCGTGCATATTGGACTGGAACTTCCTGGATTATGGCCCCCGATTGTACAAATAATTTTTTTTTTTTTATCTCATTCCGTGTCCATCTCTTGCAAAAAGTGGGGATATATTGCATGGCAACCGCTTGTTTATATCCTTAAATAAGGGGCTAGGAATTGGAATCTTTAGATTTACTGGCAAGTTTAGTACATAGTGGTGCACGCAAAGTATTTAAGGAGATGGCAGCATCTATAAAACATACACTTTGTTGTTGATGACCTAAAAGTATTCCCAAATTCTCTAGTAGCAAATTCAGGAGCACATCACTACACCCATACAAAACCTACAAGACACAAACATTAGGGACTATGAGATTGTAGTGCCCTGAATATCACAGCTCCCTAAACCTCAAGTTAATCCTGTAGGTTCATTTAAGACTTTTGTAGAATTCAGCCTGGATTACCACATTTCCTTCTACAGTAGTACATTAAAACCCCATTTTATTTCATTTCTACCCCAATTCGACTTCCATATGTTAGAAGTTATTCTACATGCACGTCAATGTGTAAATGAAATGAGGTTTAACTTTCTACCTTTCTGGTCCGACTGAGCTAATTAAGACAAGCATACGCCATGCAGTAATATGAGTGTTCTATGAGGGACATTTTGCCCGGACAGCGTCACTATGGCCTTCTCTCATATCGAATTCTAAGGGAGAGAGAGAGAGTGAAATGGGGTTTAACATCCACTCAACACAAGCTAGGTCATTTCGGGACTAACATATGGTTAATTTTATTTCATTAATTCGCTTGCGCGTAGAGGTCTTTAGCAGTGGGAGGAAACCGGAGGACCCTGAGAAAACCCACGAGGTTGGACAGGCGACCCTACTCCTTGCCACGTACAACCGGGGATTCGAAACCACGCCAGTTGACTCAATGACAGGCCGTATGATACAGCACGCACGTGCTAACCATTCGGCCACCCAACCCCCCCAAATTCCAAGGAAGAGAGAGAGAAATGGGGTTTAACGTCCACTCGACACAAACTAGGTCATTTCGGGACTAACATATGGTTTAATTTTTATTTATATAATTTGCTTGCGCGTAGGGATCTTTAGCAGTGGGAGGAAACCGGAGGACCCGGAGAAAACCCACGAGGTTGGACAGGCGACCCCAAATTCCAAGGGATCTTTTACATACATGCCAATGTGTACATGGGACCACAGGTTTTTTGCACCACTCGAGTAACTAGACTGCTGTCCTTTTTCAGGCCCTCCGTTCTGCACCACTGACACAGGGGAAACCACGCCGGAAAATCCTGATGAAGTGTCTCGGCCAACACCAGACGCGAAGCTGCGACCTCCAGGCTAGCATGTCAGCATCTTACTCACTTAGCCACAGTGGCTATTCGATACTCTTTTAGAACTTATTTTTCCTTTTATTGGAAAATTCGCATGGCTAACAATTTCTTTTCTATTTTTGTACATTAATAAAGAGGAAGAAATAAGATGCTCAGATTTTTTTTATTTTTACAGTAATATTTAACGGTAAGATTTCTGGTAACGAGCACGAGCACCAGGTCCACCGAACTTCTTCATCTCACAACGACGAGGATCACCAATCAATAAATTTCTGTCGTATTGAAGTAATATATCCTTAATCTCCTTTCTACTAGCTTCATCTACGTCTGAAATACAAATTTAATAGTGGATATTAAACATACATTACAACTGTATGCACGAGTTAAATCTGCCTATTGAGAGAGAGAAATGGGGTTTAACGTCCACTCGACACAAACTAGGTCATTTCGGGACTAACAATTGGTTAAATTTTATTTACATAATTCGCTTGCGCGTAGGGGTCTTTAGCAGTGGGAGGAAAGCAGAGGACCCGGGGAAAACCTACGAGGTTGGACAGGCGACCCTACTCCTTGTCACGTACAACCGGGGAATCGAAACCACGCCGGTTGACTCAATGACAGGCTTTGTGAAACAGCGCGCACACCCTAACCATTCAGCCATCCAACCCCCAAAATCGTAACGAAACAGTGAATATATAATAATAAATTATATATTACAATGAAAGAGGGGGGAATGGGGTTTTATTACCAGCGAGGAATGTTCACTCGACACAAACTAGGTCATTTCGAGACTAACATATGGTTCAATTTTATTTCAATAATTCACTTGCGCGTAGGTTTTTAGCAGTAGGAAACCGGAGGACCCGGAGAAAACCAACGAGGTTGGATATGCAACTCTAATCCTTGTCTCGTACAACCGGGGATTCGGGGAATCAAAACCACAACAGTTGATTATGGTGCAACGCGCACGCGCTAACCATTCAGCCATCCACCCCCTCCCCCTATTATAATGAAACTTACATTTCTGATAAAATGCTACAATAGCTCTAGCTACAGCTTGTCTGATAGCTGAAATATATAAAATAATATAAGCTGTAATATAGAAGATAGGTTGCCAGGCAACACCCATAACAGCTCAGTTGTCCGAACGGTCGACAAGAGCTATCACATTTATTCTTTCATTGGTAATGTGAGCATTTACAAGTAATTTTTGAAATTAAGTATGCTTCTCACGAATGTAAACACATCAATTTCAACGCCCGGTTATCATGCAAGATACGCCCACATTTTGCAAGAGATGGACAAGCTAAAAAGGATATTTTAAATTGGGGGGGGGGGGGGGCATAATCTAGGATGTTACGGTCTGACATGCATCTATATCAGAAGGAACCGAGATAGAGAGAGAGAGAGAAATGGGGTTTAACGTCCACTCGACACAAACTAGGTCATTTCGGGACTAACATATGGTTTAATTTTATTTCAATAATTCGCTTGCGCGTAGGGGTCTTTAGCAGTGGGAGGAAACCGGAGGACCCGGAGAAAACCCACGAGGTTGGACAGGCGACCCTACTCCTTGCCATGTACAACCGGGGATTCGAAACCACGCCAGTTGACTCAATGACAGACTTTATGGTACAGCGCGCACGTGCTAACCATTCGGCCATCCAACGCCCCAGGAACCGAGATAAAAATTGTGACCTTTAGAGGGTCCACAAGCTAAATATGTGATTATTTGTCCTAATCAGGAGCCATAATCCAGGAAGTTACAGTCTGTTAAGCACCGAAATCAAAATGAACCAAAATCTTTGGGTAACATACATAAGTTTCATTAAAATCGGTTAAAAATTGTGATCTCTATAGTTTTCAAAAGCTAAAACCCTGATTTTTCGTACATTCAGGGGCCACAATCCATGAAGTTACCGTCCGATACATGTCAAAAGGAACCAAGATCTTTGGGATATAAACCTGGGGTCTGTTTCACGAAATTTTAACTAGGATAAAATCCAAATTTTAGTAATTTGATTGGTTAATATTAGATTGATTTTAGTGCTTAGTCAATCAAAATTGAAGTATCTACTAAAATTTGGATTTTATCTTTAGTTAAGATTTCGAGAAACAGGGCCCAGTATTGCAAGTTACGTCAAAATTCCCATCCGAATGACTCGACGGCTGTCCTTGTCAAGCTAACATGACGAGGGAAATTTTGCCCAGAGGGCGGCGCTATGTTCTACTCTTATATCGAATTCAAACTGTGAAGGGTTCCTTTACGTGCACACAAATATGCACGCAGGCCTTGATTTGTTGTCCCATGCTAGGCCCTTTGTGCTACATCACTGATAAGGGGTCCACGTCAGAAAATCAGGATGAACTTTCTAAGCCAACACCGGGAACGAACACAGGACCACAAGTTGATCGAGTCAACATCTTTCTGAGTCACTGGGGCTCCCCATTTTCTTTTTTATCCTTATGTTAACAACCTACCATAGATTTGTGCAATGATACCACCTCCCTTTACTCGTACTCTGATATTTAATCCATCAAATCTTTCTTTACCGAGGAGCAACATAGGTTCCATCAGCTACAAAACAAAAACATATATGTTAACATGGCATACATACATAGGCTTGCCAGGCAACGAAAAAACTGACACCACTGGCAGTCTTATCGCCACTCACATTCTCTTCTTGTGCACAGATTATCACCAGTATCGACCATGACCTCAACTTGTCAAAGCTCGCAAAGCATTCTCAGACTTACGAATTTACTCAAATTTCCATCCCCGTTTATGAGAAATATCTTGGTTTCAGAAACACAAAACTTTGCACAGTTTCTTATTGATGTATTGCATACATTAAAACAATAGAAGTCTTATAAAGGGCTTTATAGGAGTTAAAATAAAGCCAACAATTTCAAGTACATTCTTAAGTCTGATAATGCTTTGTGAAGGCCAGGTTGTTAATCTAGACATTGTCTAACTTGTTCTGAGAGAGAGAGAGAGAGAGAGAGAGAGAGTTTAACATCCACTCGACACAAACTAGGTCATTTCGGGACTAACATATGGTTCAATTTTATTTCCATAATTCCCTTGTGCGTAGGGGTCTTTAGCAGTGGGAGGAAACCGGAGGACCCGGAGAAAACCCACAAAGCTAGAATGATATATATATCCAGGCCTGAAAATAATAATTGTACTTGTACCTGACACAAGTTTTATGTGATAGTTTTAGCTTTGAGCCAGACATTAAATGTATTAATAAACCAGCGGCTGCCAGGCAGGATACGCCCACATTTTCGAGAGATGGATAGAGAACAAGCTAAAAAGAAAGTGATTTTTCCTACAATCAAGGGCCATAATTCAGGAAATTACAATTCGATATGCGCAAATATCGAAAGGAACCGAGATCTTTGTGTTATAAACTTATATTTCAAGTTTCAACAAAATTGGATAAAAATTGTGACCTCTATAGGGTCCACAACCTTGATATACCATATTTTTACGCTATTTGAGAACGAAGAGCGGCCATTTTTTCTGTCAATTTTGGGCTGATTTTCAAGAAATTCGAACTCAGTCGTCCTTAGGGTGTAACAGTGATATAATAATACGTTTTTTTAAATTGGGTAAAAATTATGACTTCTATAGGGTCCACAAGCTAAAAACGTGATTTTTCGTACAATCAGGGGTCATAATTCAGGAAGTTACTGTCCGATATGCGCAAATATCGAAAGGAACTGAGATCTTTGGGTTATAAACTTACATTTCAAGTTTCAACAAAATCGGATAAAAATTGTGACCTCTATAGGGTCCACAAGCTAAAAACGTGATTTTTCGTACAAACAGGGGCCATAATCCATGAAGTTTCGATCCGATACATGCCAATATCGAAAGCAGCCGAGATCTATTGGAGATAAACCTATATTTCAAGTTTCGTCAAAATCGGATAAGAATTGTGACCTGTAGAGGGTCCACAAACAATTGTGGACGGACGTCCGGGCGGACAGGGGCGACGGCATAATATGTCCACATGAAAATGTGGGCGTATAAAAACACAGAAAGCTAGCAAACTTTGCCGGAAAAATGAGACACCAATTCCAGATTGTGTCAAGACAAAAATTAAATTTGTGTCCAACATTGTCAGTGACAGTTGGCTTATGTCCAGGCTGGATGATATCACTGCACTAAGTATCACTAACTGATGACAGGTAGACCGACATCTGTATACATGGAGAAGTGAAGAAGGCCTACTAACCTTGACACGAAGACATTCAGGCTCCATCTGTTCAAGAGGTCTGCCATTGATTCTTAAAGTAGATTTGGATCCTCGTTTACAGTAAGCAACAGCTATTGAAGTTTTCTGAAAAACAGTTTAAATAAATACAATATAGGGATATCCTACTAACAAAAATAATAGTAAGCCTATAATTAACTTTAATTAGTTAATAAATGAAATGGGTTATCGGTATTTCAAATTCAAAATGGGAAGGTTTCTTTTACGTGCATGCCAATGTCTACACAGGACCTTTGTTTTTGTCCTATCCAAATGACTAGTTAGGTCTTCTATCCTGTAACACTGACAAGGAGGAACCAGGCTGGAAAATCCAGAGAAATTTTCTTGGTCAAAGTAACAGAATTTATAATAATCCAACACTATTCTTAAGGTAAGGAGATGAAAGAGAGAGAGAAATGGGGTTTTAAGTCCACTCGACACAAACTAGGTCATTTCGGGACTAAATAAGGAGATGAAATGAAATGTAATGGGGTTTAACGTCCTACTCCTAACTGAGCTAATGAAGACGGGCATACGCCATAGAGTGTACTAAATGGCTCGAAATGTTCGCCTGTCTACTTGTCGCCAACAGGCGATTTTTTCGTCTGACAGGTGGCAAATAAAACTACCTGTCGCTTGCGACAGCTGGACTAAATTTTACTTGATGTTCAGTAAATTGACCACAATACTCACGTCCACGTTTCTAAATGCAAGAATTAAGCACGGAAACACCGCGAAAAGCCGCCATTTGCACTGTTTACATTTCGCTCTGTCGTAGGCTACAGTTACTCACACAGTTTGGAAGTAGACAATTTTGTATCAATGAATTTCACACCATCTACGCTTGTTTTCATCTGCTGGACACTAGTTTATAGCATTATGGAGTATTATATCTAAATAAAGTAAAACGCACCCCCAAGTCACCTGAAATAGTTCTACCGTAACGACACCACAGTAAATAAAGTAGTGGTTGGAATGGAAATGCACACGGCTCGTTGCTTGGTGTATTTAATCATTTAAAAAGTTTTAAACAATTTTCCATAAATAAAAGCTATGAATAATTTATAAGACAATTTGACAAAATCAAAAAATCAGGTCGGAAAAATATTTCATACATATATAAATATAATTTGTAGCGTAAATATAGTCCGGTACATAAGTATATATAAATACGGTGCCATGCACAGGTGTGATTTGTGTTTTGATATTCAATTTATTACGGATATTTTAAAATCTGAATTCTACAACTCAACGGCGAAGTATTCGATTTAGTACGGAAGTGTGGTACCATGATACTTTGCGGAATTCACGTTGATACGGATGATAGAATTGTATGAATCTTCGAGTCGCTGAGCCAAAGCAGATTCGCCGACTTTCAAGAACTTTTAGTAGGCATTCCAAGGCCAAGAAATAAATAGGTTTCATATTACGATATTAATATAGAGCAATGTACGTCAAAGACCTAACCACGTGTGTGTGTGTACCTACATGTATGGATATGAGTGATGTGATTACTCTTTGAGTTTGATAATTGAGAGTGACAGGTTATTTACTGAAGCGACAGGTATGAAGAAAAGCATCTTTTTTTTAAACATTTCAAGGCCTGTACTATGAGGGAAATTTTGCCAGGACAGCGGCACTACGTTTAGTTACGGTCTCTGATCAGACGATGTCCGCTGACAGTTCCATCTGTCCCTATATAGCTGCAATATGGAAATATCACTCTTCCCCACCTCTTACCTACTATTCTTCACCTTGATTATTATTTGTTTGCCAAAGGAATCATTTCTTTGCCACAGCAGTCACACATTTATAATAATTCAACACTATTTTCAATTTCACGATTAAAATTTAAAAACATCCAATCAGTCATTACGACACTCGAACATGTGAAGATCACATGTTTATTAAATCGCTAAATTGTACGTGAAAATAGCGTTGAATTAATATAAATGATTCCTTTTGACAAAAAATATAAAGAATCGCTGTGAAAAATTGAAAGTCAGGTTTTGAAACAAGCCCGAGAACAGAGGTGGGAAAGAGCGGTATTTTACAGTATTGCAACTATATAAAGAGCGGATAGGAACTGTCTGTGGAACTCGTCCGATCAGAGACTGTTCTAAAGGAACTATTTATTAACATGCAATGTCTACGTAAGCCTACTCATCTTTATCAAGCAAATGATAACATATCGGTACAGAGAGAGTGAGAAATGGGGTTTAACATGCACTCAACACAAACCAAGTCATTTTGGGACTAACATAAGGATCAACCTTATTTCAATAATTCGCTTGTGCATAGGAGGCTTTAGCAGTAGGAAACCCGGAGGACCCAGAGAAAACACACAAGGTTGGATGGGTGACCCTACACCAGTCCTTATGTACAACTGGTGAATCGAAACCACGCCAGTTCACTCAAGATAGGCCTTATGATACAGAGCACACACGCTAACCATTCAGCATCCAATATAGGTAAAACCATAAGTATTTGTACAGTAATAAGGAGCCATAAATTTTACATAATTATACCGTAATAAAATAACGGAGTGGATATTTGCCATTCGAATGGCGAATATCCTAGAGCCATAAGGATGGTTATTCGCCATTCGTTTTATATAATAAACCTAACATTCTTGCAGATTGTTTGTGGTTTTATTCAAAATACAGACCCAGAATCCCTTTTTAATTGTCATTTGTTATTTGAAGCTTCATAGTGCATATGAACACCTTCGTTCACAGCGAAGCGTAGACACCGAAACCGCCATCGTGTGTAGATGGAAGTAGCGCACATGTGAAAAGTTCCGTATTCTGCGACATTTTGTATCTTTACTAATCCAGAAACATCGAAAACACATTTCTTTGTAATTTTGTTATCACAAAGAAGATAACATACAAACTTTTTAATCTAATTTCATTCCTGCGAAAGCAGCAGAGGCTTATTGAAATTGTTCTACCTGATCTGCCCGCCCGCCTACCACCCGGAGTAGACTACCCATATCATTTCATTGCCAACCGCACGTTCTATCTATGTATCATTCGTATATTTTATTTCCTACCAATACTTCATTTCCAACTGCGTGTTATGGAGGGCCTGTCAAGGACAGTCGTCTAGTCGTTCGGATGGAACAAAAAAAAAGAGGTCCCGTGTACACATTGGCGTGCACATAAAAGATCACCCAGCAGTTGGAATTCGATATAAGAGTAGGCCGTAGTGCCACTGCCTGGGCAAAATTTCCCTTATAGCACACTGTATGGCGTGTGCCCGTCTTCATTATCCCAGGTTAGGAACAAAACAGTATGACGTTAAACCCCTGTTTCATTTCATTTCCAACTGCGTGTTATATTTGCCACCTGAATGTTTCTATACCTTCCATTTCAAACTAGAGAGAGAGAGACCTCAATGACAGACCTTATGATACAGCGCACACGTTCTAACCATTGCCCCCCCCCCCCCCGCCATTTCTTTCTTGGCATCCCGTATTCATTTGCTACTCATAGCCTACATTTCTTTCTCAACCGTATGTTTTATTGTCAAACTTATAATTCATTTACATCTACTCACATAGGCATACGTCCAGCCAGGGATGAGATCGTAATTTCTTAAAATTGACTAAGGGATTAAAGTTTGGCATAGAATTTAGAACATTTAAAGTCAGTTTAATACACAGTGACATTTTTTCGGGAATCATGAATGTTTCCCCTTGTCAGTGGTGCAGGACGGAGGGCCTGATAAGACAATTACTGTGTAGTCGCTCGGATGGGACGAAATAAACAAGGAACCGTGTATACATTGGTGTATCCGGGCAGAATATCCCCCATATGAAACTGGAATGAGAGAGAGGGGGGGGGGGTCATTTTGGAACTAACACATAGGGTTCCATTTTTTATATTTGAATAATCCCCTTGCGCGTAGGGGTCTTTAGACTTTAGCAGTGGTAGGACCTGGAGAAAACCCATGGGGTTGGACAGGCGACCCTACTCCTTGTCACGTACAAAAGGTGAATCGAAACCACGCCGAAACAGGTTAAAATATGGAGTATTTTATTATTATCTTATTGTATATATCTCTCGTCTTTTTTGAGCCATTCGTTTTTATTTTTCATATTTATTTATTTTTTTTTTTATCTACTCGAACCTTTCATTTTCAACCATTGTTTATTTCCAATCCATATATTTGAATAAAACTATTTTGTGTTATCTAAACCTTTCAAAGACAGGTCATAAAGTATGGTACTTTTTCGGGTAGTCACCGCTAGGCTATAAATAGACCTCCAATGGCACTGTGTCAAACAACGTTTGTTGTAGTAGTTATTTTCGCATTTTTACTGCAACGAAAATGATGTTTGTGCATTTTTTAGGACGAAGTTAAACTACGGTAGTTTAAGTGGTTGGTAGCATTACCCCTCGACTAGACATCGTGATAGGACAGAGAATATCGATTTAAAAAAAAGAATGCCAAATAACGAAAACGAATGGCAAATAACGTAAACGAATGGCTAATAACTCTTTGCCATTCGAATGGCGAATATCCTCTGCTATAAAATAATCCCACTCAACTAAAACATGATATTACAATTAATTACATGACATTCGCGAACAGCTATCGCAAGCTCCAATGGCATGGGTCGAAAAATAAAATATATAAGATTTCAATGAATGGTTATTTGCAACATTTCCCTCTTTCTTTTTTAAATGAACACTTTTTTCTAATTTCTATCTTCTTGCCTCACCTTTCTACCACAAACTTGAACCGATTGTACGGGAACTTTGGCTTTCGCCGCGGCTTTTAGGCCGCTTGCAGGGACACCAGTGGTAGGAGCCATGCTAAAATTAAAGAAAATCGGACATATAATATATTGGGAACATCTTTATTTATTTCACTATTTTCTAAAAGGTATATATATGGATCATTTTAATATTGTTTTGTGCAAGCTCTCAACTCACGTTTTATTTTTATCACGGCGAAAGAGGAAAAGGAAGTTACTTGGGGTCTCCACTTCCGTTACACGACTTTATACTCTCGAACACGACACCTTCAGTTGCCTTTCTTTAATTTAACACACATCTACGCTTATAAAGTATTTGTCAGTTAAATGTCATATTACTTTTATTATGCGCACTGATATACAAGTTTAAAATACATGATTTGCAGCTGGAATAATGAAAATCGAGAATCTAACGTGACGTCATTAATTCAGATCTACGGAAGGACGATGTGGATATAATAATGTAAAAGCCGATTTAAAGTCTTAAATATGGCACCATGGGCTTCAAAAACTAGCCAACATAATATTATATTATGTACAATATTTTAGTCTAGTAAATCTCAAGTATGCATAAAATTTAATATCCAACTGATGTGACAACAATTAACACACCAGAACTAGTCACGCCATACAGTTTTAAAGGGCTAATACCGATAAATTTTTGGAGAATACAACTGTTTAATTTTGTTTTAAAATCCCTTAAAGTCCTCTTCCTAAGGACCGAGCAACTAACTCAATATTTGTGATAAGTTTTCAAATAACTGAAACCCGTCAGTCTTCATCTGTTAATCGAGACCAGTGTCCCAAGCTGTATTATGCGGCGTCTAGATAAAACCAGACATTTTTTGCATAAAAATAATGTGTAGGTGACATTTGCCTTTCGTTATCAAGTACAGCATTTGGTTCATTCACTGTATAGACCTCTAAAGGAACGACAATCGATTATCAGGTCTCCAAGCGAAAAAACTGACCCAAAATCTTAAAAGGGATACGTGTCCGGATAAGCAGTTTTGACGGTCACGTCCAAACGACTCAAAATTTTGAGCTGAAATTTTGAGATAAGGTCAATACACCATTCCTCTATATTTAGGCGCTTAAATTTCATACATACTCAGACTTTTATTGTTGAGACTCTTTTCAAATAAGGGATAGTCCCTTTAAGACACGGTAATAATTTATACTGTGAATTTTTTGATAAATAATTTTAAATTGGTGAAAAAACTATATTTTTTTTTTCGGGTTAAATGTAGGCCTATACATGCATATAGGGTCACCTGTAATTTATAGTTAGGAAATCGGGATATATGTTTACTGTCCGTTATAAAGAGTGGTTATCTTACTTGGCAATCTGTTCATTGATTTCCCTCATTGCACACTGTATGCCTGTCTTCAATAGCCCAGGTTAGGAGCAGAACAGTAAGACGTTAAACCCAATTTCCTTTCATTTCTGTTCATTGAATGCGAAAGCATAGACTTTTAACTCTGTAGAGGATGACTGACCTTAGTACGCGTGCATTATAGGGTACGTGTGACGGTCACATCTTACGGCCTCGATGGCATGTGCGTTGTTTACAAAAACACAAACAGATTCGCCGTGATCCGGGCTTCTTCAAACAAAAAGTAGTTATAGAGGCGAAATGTGCCGATAATACGAATTTGTAGAATAAAATAGCAAAAAATATATTGTTAAAGGGACCATAACACTCTTGCTGGCTTGTAACATGAATTTCGAGAATCCGTGATGGTAGAAATTCCAATTGCCGCAAAAATGAAAGCCAAAATGGCGGACTTTTAATTAATCGTAATAAAATGTCATTTTCTCCATATAACCAGCGAAAATATCGTAAGATATGACCTTTACTATGTCTTTTATATGGTTTTCGATGTCTCTAAATTTAAAGATATATTTCGAAAATCAAACATTGCAGCAATTCAAACCGGAATTTTATTTAATCGTCATTTGTTTCCGTTGGATATGGCTTGTAATATGTCTGATGTAAGGGTTTTGGGGTTTCTTGGTTCAGTTTCTACCCAAAAACCTAGCCAAGATGGTGTAGACCTAAATTTAAAACGAAAATCAAAATAGAACCCAAAATTGCGATTTTTGTTCTTGTGGATATTGCTTGCAAAAGACCGTTTTCAGGGTTACTGAATTCAATATTGGGTTCAAAAATTAATATCCGATAAGATTGTTACACATCAAATTTGTGCATATGCCTAAGCTAGAAACATCAGAACATACTATAGAAAACATAAATTTAAAGCCAGTTTCAAAAGAGATTTCGCGCATGGGAGGAGAGAACCACACCGGACCTCAAGTTTCAGGAACCTTTCGGACCCCGGTCCGTCTTTGGTATCATCTAGACCGATAGTAAGCACATGTTAATTTCTGTCTGTTATTTATTTCACAAGTTCTTGCAATTGCCACAGTAAAACTGTTTGTGCCAGCAATGGACACTAGGCAATACGTATAAATACTGGGGACGGGCTGATCTTTGCTCCGTGAGGGGAATGACAGGGTTCTCTCCAACCAGACTCGAAATTTCTTTTGAAAATAAATGACTGTAAATGGTGCTTTCTAGAGTATATTCTGTTGTTTTTAGCTTATGCATATATCTTAACAATTCATCAAAAATATGGAAGACCAAACAGCTCTTAATTCAGCGTTCTTAATTCTTAATTCATTTACCTTAAATCTTATTTCTTCCTTTGTTGTCGTATTTCGACATTTGTACACTAAAATTAACATTTGTATCGTAAAATCAATATTTGTTTTACAAATCGGACATTTGTCGTATCAGATTTGTAAAATGTATTTTTGTTTAATTTAATTTTTTTTTAATATAAAGACAAAATTTATTTTAGTAAATCAAAAAAATATTTCTACATTTACATTTCATCATAGACATACAACGAAAAACAAATCTCGAACAACAAATTTCTAAATACAAATCTCCAAACACAAATCTTTCAAAGCATTTCTCCAACAACATTTCTCCCAAAAACATTTTTCCAAAAACATTTTTCGAAATTCATCCAACCGGAACATTATGACGACATAAGCGGAAATCAACTTGGCATACAATAAGTCACCATACAACAAATGAGAATTGACCAAAGATATACTCTCCAAAAAAAGTAGGGGATTCAGAAACAATACAAAACTCGGGAAATGCACTGCTGTTTTTATTCGAGGTAACCAGTGTATGTTAATAACAGGCCAATTGCCTACACATGAACATAAACATTTCATATGGGCGGCTTATCTGACGGCCCCATTTCACTCGCACAGAGATACACCGTCAAAAGTAAAAATGGACGTTTTTGATTTCTGTCTTAATAATGAGTAATTGCTCCACCAATCCTCAGACATTCAGCAGTTCGTCGTGGCATGCTCCTAATCAACCGTCCAATCACGATTTGCAGTGTTGTCGGTTGACGTTGACGTCGACGAACACGTCTCCCGATCAAATTAAATGTAACACACAAAAGCTTATGCAAGAACCGATAGGAAAGCAACCATGGATAGATAAACCAGTACGCGGCAGTTTTCATCAACCCTTCCTTGAAGTGTCAAATTTGACAATGAACCCCTCCCATGTGTATGGCGTTATTGCGTGTCGCATGTGCAGCTCGGTGGTTCTGTTGGGGCTATAAGTTCTTCATCTGTGAACATACTCTCAAAGCATGTCAAGTGTCCATGACTATTTATCATATCACAACCTGCATAGGTATTTGCATTTCAATATCCCCTACTTTTTTGGAAGAGTATATATACAATTAGAAATATCGCTCGATGACCGTGACTTCAGTGAAATCTGAAATCGCGTGCGTGTTATATATATATATATATATATATATATATATATATATATATATATATTGTTAATCTGATCTAGCATTAAATAAAATAAATTGAAAGTAGTCTATTTTTAGTAATTAAGTTATTATTTGATAGCGACATATTTCTTTGGACAAACGATATAGGACCTTATCTCTTCTAAATCATGGATGTGCCAGTAAAATAGCTAATACTCATATATTCAAAGAGCGATAGACAAATAATTCCCCCACTTCTACTGTGTTCAGCTCAAATTTGATTGGACGATAAGAAGAGACATACTCCCACGTTCTCAGTTTCAGTACGGTAAAGGCTAGAGAAGGCGTTCTCGGGCCATTGATTCAGTAATATGATGGACAAGTGGCCCTCGGGTAACCCCCTCAGAATATTATCAAAAAGAATATGCTATAGTACATATTTATTATAGACTTATGCAAAACTCTATAGTTATATGACTCCAGCATTAATATTGACTGAAATATGGCCATTTTTTGTCATATCCGTAAAACTATTCCAGTTTGTCATAATTGACCCAATCTAAATTTAATAAATAGTTCTGATCACGACTAAAATTATACGATGCTAAGATATTTCCACCATGCACAGTTTTTGCTGCAAACTGACGAAAATAAAAAAAAAACTTTAGAAAACAATACGCGTTTGGACCGAAGGAAAATACTATTGATCGATCCTAGTTCAAGAGAGAGAGAGAGAGAGAGAGAGCGAGAGAGAGAAAGAGAGCGAGAGAGAGAGAGAAATGGGGTTTAACGTCGACTCGACACAACCAGGTCATTTCGGGACTAACATATGGTTCAATTTTATGTCCATAATTCGCCTGTGCGTATAGGAGTCTTTAGCAATGGGAGGAAACCGGGGGACCCGAAGAAAACCCACTAGGTTGGACAGGCGATCCTACTCCTTGTCACGTACAACCGGGGATTCTAAACCTCGCCAGTTGACTCAATGACAGACTTTATGATACAGCGCACACATGCTAACCATTCAGCCATCCAACGCCTCCCCCCTCCCCCCGATCCTAGTTTAACTTGAACACTCATTTTAAATATGTATATATTAAACGCAACCTATACATAATTCATTCTATTTCTAATTTCACATGTTTTGTAAATATTTTAGGAGTCGCTAAATGTGAAACTTGATTTTAAGAAATAATAAACTATTAATGTATCTCTGGTCAAGGGAAATGAAATGAAATGGGGTTTAAATACTGTTCTGCTCCGAACTGGACTAATGAAGACGGGCATACGCCATACAGTGTGCTATGAGGAAATTTTGCCCGGACAGCGGCACTACGGCCTACTCTTATATCGAATTTCAGCTGTCAAGGGATCTTTTACGTGCACGCCAATGTGTACACGGGACCTCGGTTTTTCGTCCCATCCGAACGACTAGACAGCTGTTCTTGTCAGGCCCTCCGTCCTGCGTCACTGACAAGGGGGAAGCACCTGGTCAAGGGAATAATTATGTTAAT